TTTGGTGTTTGTTTCAAACCGTATAGAGATTTAACAAGTTTTCATACGTTTTGTTCAATTCCAGGAAACACGTAGCCTTCTGGTTGCTCCATGTAGATTTCCTCATTAAGATATTCATTTTAGAATGATATTTTACCATCCATTTGATGAACAATAAGGTTATTCAAGGAAGCTAATGCAAACAATACTCTAATTGTTATAATTCTTTCTACTAGTGCATATGTGTCAAATAATCGACACCTTCCTCTTGTCTAAACTCTTTTGCTACTAATCTAACATTGTGGGTGTTTAATGTACCATCACTCTAATAATTTTTTCCTAAACACCCATTTGCATCTAATGGGCCTTGATCCTTTGGGAAGATCGACAAGTTCCCAAGTGTGGTTTGACATAATTGAATCTATTTTGTCTTAGATAGCATCCCTTAAAAAGGAAGAGTCCATTGACGCTACTGCTTCTTTATATATATATATATATATATATATATATATATATATATATATATATATATATATATATATATATATATATATATATATATATATATATATATATATATATATATATATATATATATATATATATATATATATATATATATATATATATATATATATATATATATATATATATATATATAGACACACACACACACATACACACACATTTAATCTTTGTACTTAAAAATTATCGAAACTTTGTTGTTTGGAAATCAAATTTTTGATTACATTTTGAATTACGATTGTGATTGGTTTTAACATCAACAAATCAAATAAAATTTCCTAGCGTTATCGATTGCACTCAAGGTGTTCGATAAATTGTGTCTATTGTTTTTAATTGAATTTTTTATCATTGGAAATAAACTCTACGTGTACTTTAGCATTTAATTGATTTGTGAATGAATCATTGTTTAAGAATTTGTGTTCATTATCGCCCAATTGATTTAAGTTATGCATATCTTAGTTTTTCGAAAATAAGTTCGGTTAAACAATTTGATTCGGATTGTTTCCGCTGTGTCATAAAACTTTTAAAAACTATTTTTGCTAAAACTTAAATTTCTAATTTGTGATCTATTTACCTCCATTTTAATCAAAACCTATCATTTATCATTTTTCCCTTGCCTCAGAAAATTGAGGATTATTCTTATACATTATTTACTGTATTCAGAAGATGATTTGACCACTTTATCAGATGATATAGGACGTATTATGTCAAAAAGAACGAATAGATTCTAGTTTTTTCAAACAAATTTTTTATATATCTGGGAGAAAAAAACCATTGTGCCCCAGCATCTAATTAGAATTCTGAAATGCCCTTTGTCCATGAAACATTGGCTCAAAGTTTTAATCACTTTCTTAAACCATCTTAAATTAAGTTGAATTACCCTGTAATATTATTGAGCAATTACTAAAACACCATTTATGATAAAATAGTTATTTTATCCTTATTTTTATAATTCTATTAATTCATGAATGAAAGGATTTTGATCAATAAATGTAGGCCGAGATATTAAAAAATAATCTTAGAAGTGTAGTGAATGAAAATGTATAATATATAATGCAATTTAAATTTTTTGATACACCTTCATGAAATAAAAGAAGATCATACAATACGTTAGAGATGTGAATAAATATGTTTTCATTCCATTGGTGCATTACTTCAGCATATAAATTTGGCCTAGTTTAACAATTCCCAAGCATGTAAAGTTATAAAAAGCAATTAAAATTTGATTGAAAACGATGAACACTTATGATTCGACAGTATTTTACTTGACCTCTTAACTAACTGTGTTTAAAGAACAAGATAACACATTAATTTACTTAAGAGACAATGAATATTGATTTTTATTTTCGAAAGGCTTCTTACAACTTCTTCAGTGTAGTTTCTTTTAAATTTTTATTAGGAATGCATGAACCCAACATACTATAAAATGAACAAATCTTGTTCTATATCAAAAGAAGGAAAAGATATGGCTGCTATTCTCAAGATTATTCATGTTGTGTTTCTATTTCTTTTCATATTTCTTGTTTCAATGAACGTCCAAGGTAAGTATTTTTTTACTTTGTTTGTAAACTTTGTTTTGTTCCATTAACAACACTAACTTATAATATGTTTTATTATAGTATTGGCAGAATGTGTTCGTGATTCTGATTGTCCAAGGTGTGGTCCTCACTGTATTATGAAGTGCTTTAATTTTAAATGTACATGTCTCACACTTAAAATCTTAAGAGAGAACAATATGCCGTGAATAAATGTGATTTGTACTTCAGAAAAAACTATGTAATATTGATTTCTCAATATAATTTCACAAGTTCACATTTATTTATTGCAGTGATACTGACTATATGAATTTTTTATTTTATTTTTTGAAGATATTATGTGGCACAAGAGTGACGCACGGATAGTGTAACTTTTCTTTTATATTGTTAATCAATACGATCATGTATTTAGTCAAATCAAATTGAAAATTTAAAAATTAATTATATAATTTGGTTGAATAAGATATTTCTATAAGATAATAATATAAAGTTTTTTTATACTGTTAATGTATTATCATCGTCATCTTTCTTAATTCAGAGGTATTTCATAGCAAACAATTCAAATATATCACAATTTCTTTTCAATCCCTCAATTTATCTATAACTATATATAAAGGGATACAAATTTTTGGAGTGACATACTTTTGTTTCAAAATTACCCTTCATCTATTTTATCAACAAGAAAATAGTTTAATTTAAAATCTTGACTGGTTAATAACTTTTGTTGGTTACCAATTGAAAAAGTAATTTCCATCTCTCAAAAAAAAATCTCACACCTATAACTTTCATTAATTATTAAGTGGTGAAAAAAGTTAAAAATTCTTTTCTATTTCTTTATGTAAATTTCATCTCTTTATCAATGAAAAACTTTTTTTTTTTTTAACTTTTTCCATTCTATAATATTTTTATTTATTCAATTTTAATTAGTGATCTTTTGATTTTTGAAAAAAAGATGAAGTTTATTTCCAGTCAAGATCGCGTCATCACCTCGTTAGAAGAAGTTGTTCTCATTATGGCTGAAAATTGATGTTGTATGTAGATTTTTTTTATAATTGCTTTTGTAGTAATTGTTTTTGTATGACTTTTGTAATTGAGTTTTTTTTAGAATTTTACCATTTACGAAACTTTCTTTTTTTTCAAAGCTGAGTTATTAACTATAAAGTAAAAAAATATCATGTGATACTTGAAGAAATTTCATACTCTAAAATACAGTAAAATTCAAGTATTTAATGCAACCACAATGCGTAAGAGTGATTTTCTACTGCACTATTTTTTTCTTACCGAAATTATATCTTACTTTTGTTGCAAAACATTATTCATTAATACTATAGTTTTATTTTTTTTTCTTTTGTTGTTATTATGTTTTATTTATTAATGATACTTATTTGTATTTTGTGAGTATAAACGCATCATAAAATATGTAAGTATGTAATCTAGATTTTCATAATATAAACAATTATTTCATCAGCATTATTTTTTAAAATGACGTGGTTTTTAATGCACTACTAGAAAAAAGATATTTGGGAGAATGATTTTACATCGGGTATTCACTCGAAGCGATGTAAAATGTGAAATTGTAAACACGGTGGCAGTATCGTAAATAATAATAAAAAAATTATTAGAGCTTTTACATCGGGTCAATTATTCCACCGATATAAAAAAGTTAGGGTTGGTAGAAAATAAATTAATAAATGGGATTTTAAATCAGTTTTGGGTCCAACCGACTTAAAAAGTAATATTTAAAAAAATTAAAAAATGGGCTTTTAAATCGGTTCTTTTTTCCACCGATTTAAAAAAAAATGGCTTTTAAATCGATTATTTTTTCCACCGATTTAAAAAGTTAATACGAGTGAGTTTTTTAAATCGGTTGTGCTTTCCACCGATTTAAAAAGTTTTGTGTACTATACTTTTAAATCGGTTCCATATTCAACCGATTAGAAAGATCCTGCGAATTCCAAAATAAGTTTACGTTCACAACAGAACCTGCACATTTTAAGCTTTCTTTCAAACCCTCCTCCCCACGACCCACTTTCGTCGACCGTCACCGTTCCCCCTCCGACCCACTATGTCCTCCCTCCGCCCCACGACAGCGCCTTCTGCCTCCGCCCCACACACGACCGTGCGTGCGCCGTCCTCCCTCCGCCCACGACCCACGACGAAACCTCCCTCCTCCTCATTCCCTCACCGATTCCGTCACCATCTCCATTTTGTTTGGCTGCTGTGCATAAATATTGTGCTGAGACTTGGTTTAAGATTAAGGGTAACAAGTAAGTGAGTTTTTTTTATAGTGATTTATGGTTGTTTGTTTTTTGAGATTGATTATCTTTGGGTGGGGAATTTGTGAGATTGATGAATGCTAGTGTTGTCCAATGTATTTTAGTATATGTTTGTTTTCACGCTTGGAGCATCTAGAATTTGAAAATAACCAGTAATTAGTAATAGTAAGTTTTGTACCCTCTTTGTTGTTTCTCTTATTGTTCACTTGATTGTTCATCTATTAAGGGAGAGACTTTGGTTTAGGCTTCTTTTAACATTTTATATTAATTTAGTTTAAAATATTATTACACATCAAATAGAGCGGTGTGCATCTGTTACTGAATAATAAGAAAAAGTGAGACTTTGATTTAATGGGATGTTCATGCATCTGTCACAGAACAGTAAGAATGACAATGTAACAATGCATTAGGTAGGGCTGGACAAAAATTAATATTAAACATAACTCTTTTATCTTAAATGCATACATAAGAAGAAAAGAAAAAGCATGGCCTCCACTCTCCGTTATTTTACTCTTTTTACTTTATCACTTTTAGCCAAATAAAAAAGATTATATATTTCTCCTCTCAAGTCTTTAACTCTCTTCAAATGAACAAACTGGTAAAAATGGTGAATTTCAAAAGAAAACATCACCTTGTACACACTAGTGAAAGCATCGATAATGATAGCATCAACTATCCATCTTGCATGCAAAATTCTAACAATCAAACTTCTCAGCATCACCACCCTCTTGGATGGATTGCAAGAGCTGAGAAATGCTTCAAGGTTAGTTGATTAACCTAATCTCTTCTCGTGTAGTTTCTAAAGTTATTTTTTTTCAATGCATGTTTGTAAGAATGTGATTTTCTTTTGTATTTGTTATTTTTATAATAGAAACAAATGCATGCAAAAACAATTGAGCTTGAAATGCAAAGAGGTTTGCACCAAAATCTGAAATTTGAGCTTCAACAACTCAAAACAGCTCTAAACGTATTGAACATCTTTGAAGATGATGATAAGGAGGAGGAGGTAGACTTGGAGTTTTTCAACAAGTTTAGTGCTTTGGAGAATGATCTAACAAAGAAGAAAGAGTTGATAGAAGAGTTAGAAACATTGAACCAAGTTCTTACGGTCAAAAGGACCGTGAGATGAACGATGAGTTACAAAATGCGCAAAAAACATTGATCAATGTAAGTTTTTTTATGTATAATTTCCTTTTTCAGCTTAATCTTATTGAGATGTATGTTTGCTCTATGTAGTTATGTTTTATGGGCCGGATTGCTTTTTATGCTTTGGAAAGTGGCTTGTGTAAAAAAAGTGGAATTTCACATTGACTTTTTTAACGTTGAAGACAAGATGTGCTTGTTTTGTTCCGCGGTCGCACAGATTCAGCACAACTCACCCTCAATCAAAATATGCACTTTTGTTATGTCAATATTTTCTGCATTTTCGTTATCGTCTAATGATTGAAGGATTGTTGTATATTTTTCTTACAAATATTGCTTATGACATGTTTGGTATAGAGTTTTTTATGTTGGAAAATCATGAAAATAACGACCTAAATGTGGTCTATATGATGTGCACTATGGAAAATAGCGACCTAATTATGGTCTGTGTGATGTTGGAAAAATATGAAAAATTAGGTACCAAAAAAATTACAGGGAACAACTAAAAAATAGGCAAATAATTTATACTCGTAACAACACATTTTACATCGGGCGAACGAAATAACTGATGTAAAAAACTATCTTTTACATCGGTTTAACCACATAACCGATGTAAAAAGTGTTTCTGCAGTACTTTTTATTTTGTTTACTACAGTACTTTTTACAAACTTTACTATATAAATAATTTAAATTAAAATCAAAATTAAATAAAAAGTATTCATTCGTTTAATTTAATATAATTTAGAATAACTTTGTTTATCATTTTCAAAATGTAATAATATTATTATCATGTTTAGACAACATAATTTTTTAACTAAATTTTATTTAATTCGTTATGTTTAAAATAATAGTAGTATTAATATATAGTTAATTCACTAAAATATTTTTAGTATATATATATTTATCATCCTGATTTTAAGACTGCTTGAGGATATCTAAAAACATTATTTTAAATTAATCTTAAGTATGATAAAAACTTCATACAAAATATACACACGTTTATTTTTTTATGTTGTGCGCATTAAAAATAGTGGACAGACGGTCACGGGAGTGCCCGTCTGAGCGCTAGTTAAAATAAATGTAATAGTTAAATATACACTACAATTACAGTATTCCTTACATTTTTATTTATATAAAGCCTAAGATATTTTCTTTTCTTTAAAATGATAAAATAAAAATAAATTATTTACAAAATAAATAAATAATGTCTTTTAATTTTTCTAACACCATGTGATTCTTTTTTTCTCAAATTGTTTTGCACAATGTTATATAACTTTTTAGACTAAATTTAGGACTGAGATCCAATTCGAAAATAGTTTGAAATTCGATTTGACAATTAAATTTTCGAACTAAATTCATAAATCAAATGAGCTGAATATGAGCGAAAACTAAGTTAGTTAACTAAATGAGTTGAAGTTGAACCATGCATAGTTCAATTTGTTAGGTTCATGAATCAACTCGATTATATATGAGAAGAATTATATTATCTTTAAGAGTAGGTTTTAAAATGTATTCTGATAATGCGAAAACATATAGATTAAAATGCCATTGTTTCATATTATTAATGGTCGATTTCACCCCGATTTCGTACCATATTCGCATTGTTGTTTAATATTTTGCAGGTTTATGAATTCAATGTCCAAATGAGGCAAGATAGGCAAAACAAGCTAAAAAGGACTTGAAACAGAATAAAAGAACGAGAAAAGCAGCAGATTCCAATTCTGCTGATATGACGACCGTCATGGCCCCCCACGACCGTCATAGGCACATTTTCTGCCCATTGTCCACTTTCAGAGACGTGTAAAACAGAAGCCCAAAATTCAGCACACGACTACCTGGATTTTCTGACCCTCAAAGACACTTCCAACAGCAGCTCACGTAGCATTCATACACTATAAATAGAGGGCTTTGGGACTGAAATAGGGGAGCTGCATTGAAGACACTAAGTGCTGCCAATTTATTTTCAGAGCAATTTTTGAGTTTCAGAATTTCTTATTGTTTAATGTTTCCTTTTCCTTTCCTTCCTTGCAATTGTGTTTTTACTTTTCAATTCTATTATGTATGAGTAATTGGCACCAAGACTAAATCCTGCCGACATTTTGGAGGATTTCCCAAAAGCCAATCGAATTATTTACAGGTTCTCATTTTAATCGTTAATTGAATTCTATTTCCCATTATGATGCATGTTATATTCTACCATTGTTTACGTGTTCTTAGTTTATATTCCATGTCTGGCTAAATTTAAGTAATCGGTATGTAATAAGTAGTCAGATGGGATTCGATAATTAACCGGTGTATACTTTCCTTTTCAAACTTATTTATGGCTTTAGTTTTTAAACCGATTTTTCTAAAATAAATGTTCGTCGCGACAGCGAGAACTTATTTAAAAGCAGTTTTGCCACGACAGTGGGAAATTCATAAAGGTACGAACCAACAAGCGACAGCTGAGGTTAGGTCCAGATAGTAAAAACTAAGCATTCGTTTTAAAAACAGCGACAACCTTTAAAAAGGATTAGAGCTTAATGGTTTTCAAAATGTAATTTTAACCGCGAACGGGATAGCGACAACATACGTTTCGCCTTAGAGTTGCGACTAGCGTCAACAACCATAGTGAGACAAAGGTCTTTAAACCGTCATTTTCTTCTTAAACTATTTTTGAAAACACCCAAAACACCGGTGACTTGTCGAATCCTTGAAGAACCAACATATTGCATACCGATTCACGCCTTTATACCTTAAGTAACGTTTTTAGTTCCCCTATAGTTTACACACTTATTTTGCTTTTATTCCCCTAAAACCATACCAACCTAGCTAAACACAATAACACCCAAAAATACTAGCTTGATTACGAGTCCCTGTGGGATCGATATCTTTTATTACTACGCGATAGACTGTGCACTTGCAGTTATTTCAGTTAGACATAGAAAGTCGCGATCAAGTTTTTGGCGCCGTTTCCGGGGACCCGTTTAGTCAATAGTGTAATCCTTTGTTATACAGTATAGACTAGGTTAACTATTCTCTCTCCCTCTACTCGTTCTTCGGTTGTATGCCAAGTACTCGCTCACAAGGCGACATCTTACAACCTACAATCGCCGAACTAGAGCGCTTCTTACATTTAAGAAGGCGCATCCTCGAATATCAACGAAAACACAATATTCCTGATCTTCTAGCTCATCCTCCTGTTGAAGAATCAAAGATGGCTGACGGACCTCAGAACAAACCGCTGAAGGACTACGCTACCCCCTCTCAGCTGGAGCCTCGAAGTAGCATTGTTGCCCCCGCTATCAATCGGAACAATTTCGAACTGAAACCGTCATTGCTGTCAGCTGTACAACAACATCAATTCGCAGGAAATGCAACTGAGGATCCGAATGAACACTTAACGAAGTTTGTGCAATACGCAGACACAGTGAAGGCAAATGGAGTAACTCCAGATGCAATAAGACTTCGTCTCTTTCCTTTCTCTCTTAGAGATAGAGCTTGGACTTGGTTACAATCCTTACCATCCAACTCCGTTACGACGTGGGAACAATTGAAGAACGTTTTCTTAGCGAGATACTTTCCGCCAAGCAAAACTACTATGCTTAGAGCTCAAATCAACGGATTTCGACAAAAAGATACTGAATCTCTCTATGAAGCGTGGGAAAGGTTTAAGGATATGATGAGAGCATGTTCTCACCACGGTTTAGAAGACTGGGTGAGGATCCATACTTTCTACAATGGGCTTCTATATAACACCAGATTAATGGTAGACGCCGCCGCAGGTGGTGCACTTATGGATAAGGCATACGACGAAGCCTATCAACTTATCGAAAACATGCCTCAGAACCACTGCCAATGGGGAGGTGAAAGAAATCCAGCAGAGAAACCCGCAGCAAAAGGTGGGATGTACGAGATCAGCAGTCTTGAAAAGTTCAACGCTAAGGTGGATGCTCTAGCGCAGAAAATCGACAGTCTGACCGTTACCCCAACTGCAACCGTAGCTGCTGTAACTCCAAAATGCGAGTTATATGGAATTGCCACTCATAATGCGCCCGAGTGCCCATTATTGGCAGGAATTCCACCAGACCAAGTAAACTATGCTCAAGGAAATTCTTATGCAAATACTTACAACCCAGGATGGAGGAACCACCCAAACTTTTCCTACAAGAACGACAATGCCTTGCAAGCACTAGCTGCTCCGCAAGGATATCAGAAACCAGCTGCTGCTGCCCAGACTGCCCCTAGGAAATCAAATCTCGAAGTGATGATGGAGAAATTCATAGCTACTCAAGCTCAAACAAATAAAGAATTCCTGAATCAAAACATACACACTAGTGAGCAAATTAAACAGCTGACCGGAAAGGTAGACGCTTTAGCCACCCACAATAAAATGCTCGAAACGCAGATATCACAAGTGGCTCAACAACAAGCCTCTGCAGCCGCACCAGCTGGGACATTTCCAGGTCAGCCAGAACCTAATCCGAAAGGTCATGCAAACGCTGTCATATTGAGAAGTGGAAAAGAATTAGAAGGCCCAACAGATCCTAGGAATGAAGATCTAGTCATGCATCAGAAATCTGATAAACCAACAGAAAAAGAGTCTGAAACAGAAAAGAAGGAATGTGACGAGCAAAAGGCCACCAAAAATGAAAACTCATATGTGCCTCCAGCGCCATATAAACCACTGATCCCTTATCCTCAAAGATTCATAAATTCCAAAACTTCAGGACAATTTAAGAAATTCGTTGAACTTCTAAAACAACTAAATATCATTATTCCTTTCACAGAAGCGATAACTCAAATGCCTTCATACGCTAAGTTTCTTAAAGAAATCTTGTCTAACAAAAGGAAAATCGAGGATAACGAAATAGTTACACTTACTGCCGAATGTAGCGCAATCATTCAAAATAACATGCCTCCTAAACTAAAAGACCCAGGTAGTTTCTCCATACCTTGCATCATAGGAAAGTTCGTCATAGACAAAGCTCTATGCGATCTAGGAGG